TGCTCCGATGATTTCCATAGGAAAAGGTTTCTCTGGAACAAGGAGTCCAGGATTTCTTGGTTAAGAATTTATAGGATGAATCAGTCTATTAATTTCTAAGATCCAGGAAGAGGTATTAAGAATAAATGCTGGCCATTTAGACATAGACTACGAATTTTGTTTTAGTATAACCTAGGCACTGAACTTATCCTTCAAACCTTTTTTGCCACAAGATCACAAAGGATCAAGCAGTGCCATCCTTGGTTGATTTGGAATCAAATATTTTTTACCATACGCGAATATTGATTGACGTTGTGTATTTCAGATTTGGACCAGTACACTTCAAAGAACAATTTTGACAGCAAGTTCCATAGTCGGGTTTCCTAAGGTTGGTGTTTACCAACTACCAGAATCTCTTCTGACTCTTGATATCTTGTAATAACATCTTGCTACGAGGAAATCATTTCTTCCTTTTAGGTGCAATGGCGTGCCTTGGACGAGATCAATTCTGGTGTTTGCGATGGAATGACATATGAAGAGATAAAGAAGAACATGCCAGAAGAGTACGAGTAAGTGACTTGGTAGAATCTGTATATGTAAAAAAAAACGTTAGCAGTTCTGATTTCCAAGAGGTGTGAAAGAATCTGAGAAAGGGCCAAAAATATATTCTTTGACGAAAACTGGATAAAGGTGCTATACTTCCAATTAGACAAAACTAGATTGGTTTTTCCAGTTTTGCTCATCATAAAGCCAAAAAAATAGATTGCAAATTGTTGAATATTTTACTGTATAGCTAAGCTCTGCTGTTCAAGTTTATCAATCCTGAAACGGGCAATAAGCTCTTAGACTTCTTTAACTAATCTTGTGGTACATATGACTACAGATCTCGGAAAAAGGACAAATTGCGATACCGATACCCTCGTGGAGAGTCCTACCTTGATGTAATTCAACGGTATGTTCGTCTCTTCTTCTTCTTCATCTTCTAAGTTCAGTCATAAACTAAACTTCATGCAAACATTGCTTCCTCGACAATGTAGGCTTGAACCTGTGATCATTGAGTTAGAACGACAAAGAGCTCCTGTCGTCGTGATATCTCACCAGGTTATACTCCAAACTATCGGTTTATATTATAATGTTACAGTTTGAAGAAAATCGTCCACGTGATAAAATTTACATGGAGGCTTAGCGTAATACTATGGAAGAAAACACACAATTTTTTGTTTTTGTTAAGTGCTCTGACTTGTCAATGAGTTCCTCTTAAGGTTGGTTGGTTTTTACGCAGGCTGTTCTGAGAGCCTTATATGCATATTTTGCGGATCGGCCCCTCAAAGAAATACCCCAGATCGAGGTAATCTGAATTAGAAAATATGAAATTGTATGATAAAACCATTGAATGATATAGTATAAGCTTTACAGATAATAATAACAGCATTGCCGTTTAAAAATGTTTCAACAGATGCCACTTCACACTATCATAGAGATACAGATGGGAGTTTCTGGTGTGCAAGAGAAGCGCTACAAACTCATGGACTGAAAACAACAACAACAATACGTCGAATTTCAGCAACTCTCTTCCCAACGGTTTATAAAATTTTAATTTACTCTGCGTGACTGGGTTGCATTTTGGCCGGCCAGTTCTTATTTTATCCATCAAATAATTTTCTTTATACCCCCAAATGTCTTGTAAGTTCAACATGTTTTATACTCTTTATAATAATTAACTTTTATACATAGATCCGACTGATTGGGTTCGGTTCAAGAGTCACTTGAACATAAGTGGACAAAGTTTACAATGTTAATGAGAAATAAATAAAAAAAGAACGTCGGGTGTTTTTTTTTCTATGACATCTTCGTACTGGATAGGGACCAAAAGGAGGCTCGACCAAAAGTCAACGTTTTACAAAAGCTGACTAAATTGCTTCCGGCGGGGCTCGAACCCGCGACCTTCGGCTCATAAGACCAACGCTCTAACCAACTGAGCTACGGAAGCGTTTGCATTACAGATGTGCCATAACATTATTTATACCTACATTTAGAGATATTTTGAACATTTGTAACTTCAGAAGACAAAAACAGACTTCATGGTCTATATAATTCTAACGATGTGTGAATTATAGAGTAATTTTGAGAGCTTTCAGTTTTTCTTTCTAAGAGAAAGAGATGTCAAATAAAAAAAGGAAAGAGATGACATGATAATTAGTATGAATCTAACCTTAGAAAATCAGCGCAATAATACTTTTCTAAAACTCTTTCTCTGTCTTCACGATTCTTCTTTAGTTCCATTCAATACATAAGACATCAAAATAATCTTGCATTTCTGTTGAAAATTCATCTTTAGTATAAAAAGTATATAGCCATGTGTATGGTCTTTTGTTGACTTTAAAGCTTTTCCTCAAGAATTACATATTAATAATATTTATTTTTTTTGGGATGATGTGAAACAACAGTGGGAGAATTTGAACCCTCACATCAAGTCACTTTTTAGATAAATCATCAAACATTACCTACCTATTAGAGTGTTTGTAAAAAAGACCTAACAAAAAACAAAATTTTTAAAAAGAGTCAAATTTTAGAACGGACAGTTGTGATAGGTATTGTAAAGAGAATCGATGGTTTGATATGATCACCATCCACCAAGCAACAAATCAAATTTGAATAGTCGTTATAAAGATATTGATGTGTGTGGGTAGTGGGTCGTAAGCACCAACCAATAATTTGAATTTATCATTTTATTGTTCATAAACACATTGTGGGGGCTACAACATTGACTTCTATGCCCTCCTAATTAGTAATTATCATAGTGCTAGACAGAATAGGCATCGGATCCTGATCGTGTTGCTCATTTCATTGTTCTCTACATATTATGGTTTAATTTGAATTCGTTGCAGTAAAAAAATCTGTGCAGTTCCTACGAAACAAACAAATGAAACAAAACAAAAGACAGTCGTTCGAATTATAGTATACTAGCGAGTAAAATTTCAACTTCTTTTTTTAACAAATTCATGACTTAATATTATCTCATTTCGTTGTCTAGGTCAAAATCATGTATAGACTTTTATAAGATATGCATATAAACCGTTCTTGTCGTATGTTTGAGAATTATCTTTGTTTTTCCATGAAGAAAAATTAATTAAATATTCTAACTTGTAGAAGTCGTGGCCTGATGCACCGGTTGGTTGCTCGAACCGTAAGGTTAGAGATGGCTCGTTGAAAATAGAAATAATAATTTAGTGTTTATGTTTTTGAGATCTCCGGATCGGATCGTCATAGAGTTGTCAGTTGTCTACATATGTGGTGGATAAACGATAACTAATACAAGATGCTGAGGATAATAATCTAAATCATTAGTATTTTCATTGTATCTCGACTTGTTCTTCTCGCATGTGCGTAAAATGAAATTTTGTTCGTCTCCAGACTCCCCAACTATTGAGTAAAAGCAAATACAGAGGATATTTCTTTTTCTATTTCCAGCATAATTTGGTTAAAAGAAAGCTCTCACCTTTATCATTTGACTACTGACCCGCGAAGACCCTAAACAAAAAGCTTTTCAGCCAAAATTTTACTTTAAATAGGACACGAGTCATTGTGGCATGATCTTGATAATTAACGTGGTGTTTTTGGAAATTTGGACAAAAGAAAACAAATGCATATAAATGTATGCCGAGATGTCCTGTCAATGGGCATACCATGATATTGTGTATTTGTTCAAAAGGACAGTACCTAACTCTTATCGAGTTATTGGACAGAACAAACCAACAATAATACATTGAGAAAATGGGTAGCATTAATTAATTATGCGCGTATATAAAACTCATTGATGTCATAAAAGAACAAAGAATCACTTAGTTTGAGAAATCATGAAAAAATACGTCTCCATGCTAGTTTGACCTACTGAAACCTTTTGTTTTAGTTCACGGGTTATGATAAAACAACGTAACTTATTACAAAAATTTAATAGTAGTTTTTTCGTAATGATCACTGAAGATTCAAACAGTATGGCCAGGAAAAAAAAACTAAAACCTATGGCTCGATCCTTCCCGTCCCGAAAAGCCCAAATCTTTTGGCACCTGTAAAATACCGTTACAATGTAATTGAGATGTCATGCAATGCGACTTCTATAAATTTCACTAAAAAAAAAAATCCAAAATGCAAGAAAACTTATAAACTTTCAAGCACACGCACGCAAATGTAGTGCAGGGTGGGTCCAAACAGTTTTTATTTTTTCCATATTTGGATGGTGGAGGTGTACTCGACTCTGAATTTTCAAACTTTTATGTTTGTCAGATTCCAAATAAATAACCAGTCATTTCATTGATTTTTCTCAACACGGTGGTCCATTTGTTTAATATGTATATGCCTTTTTGAACGAGTGAACTCGGAATTGCCAGGGAAAAAAAAAACATTTAACGTCGTTGATTCGTTAATTAATAAATTTTAGATCACAAATCAGATCATAAATGAATTGCTTTTGTTGACCATCGACTCTCCTAGTCCTAAGATTATGTTCGAAATCGGGATTTGATTTAGTAACTAAATTGTTCGAGTGTGTGCAAATGTACATCAACTAAGATTACTTTTGTTCCTTTTCATAAGTGATTTATTGGCTATATGCCTATATCTCACAACGAATTAAAATCTTCTGTAAATAATTATTTTGCCGAATATACTCATTATAGGTAAAACACAAGAACAACAAACAATTAAATAGATATAAAGTAAATTTAAATTACAACAAATTAATTTTCAGATCTATCTTTCATACTTGCTATTTCCTGACTGGTTTAGAATTCCGAAAAATATTATAGAAATAAATTTCCCCTAATAATAATGGTAGAAATATAATTAAAAAGGTGAAATAATTTAATCATAGGTCCACACTTGACCTAAATAGAATAGTAAAAAGTGTCAAGTGGCCTGTGAGTAGGGCCATGACCACGTGATTTAGTTTCTTACATTTCCATTTTCCACTCTTCTTTCTTCATTCTCTACTTCTTTCACAATTCACATCATCAACCCAAAACCCTCTGTTTTTCCTCTCTTTTTATTGTCTTGAAATTTCAATAAATAAAAGCCCAAAACCTAACAAAAACTTCACACTCTTTCTCTCATTTTCTCTCTCTCTCTTTTAAAACACTAAAGACTAAAATCCTCGATCCACTATATTCTCAAAACCAACGCTAAATTAAAACTCTCTCAAAGAAAGAAAGAAAAAACCCTAATTTTGATGGAATCGGCGGATTCCGGGTCACAACGACCCGACCCTGCTAACGGAAGCGACCCGGGCCCGTCCTTGGTCACACCCTCTTCACCTCCGGCCACGCCTAGCCGGTACGAGTCACAGAAACGACGTGACTGGAACACGTTCTTGCAGTACCTCAAGAACCACAAGCCGCCTCTCGCGCTGTCACGGTGTAGCGGAGCGCACGTGATCGAGTTCCTCAAGTACCTCGACCAGTTCGGTAAGACAAAAGTCCACGTGGCAGTTTGTCCTTACTTTGGCCATCAGCAACCTCCATCTCCTTGCGCTTGCCCTCTCAAGCAAGCCTGGGGATCTCTCGATGCTTTGATCGGACGGTTGAGAGCAGCCTACGAGGAGAACGGTGGACGACCCGATTCAAACCCGTTCGCCGCACGTGCGGTCAGGATTTACTTGAGGGAAGTCAGAGAAAGTCAAGCCAAGGCCCGTGGGATTCCCTACGAGAAAAAGAAACGGAAACGGCCACCAACAGTTTCCACCGTTAGAGTTGACGTTGCTCCGTCGAGACAGATTGACGGAGACGGTTGTAACCTCGGTGCTCCGTCTGTCTCTGAGGCTGTACCGCCTTAGACTAAATTACTATATATTATCATAATTTTCTTGATTTATTAAATACATCATCTATATATATATATATATATGTATGGAACTCACTTCACCTTCCTTGTTCCCTAGTAACTAATTATTAATTTTTGTGAGTTAATCGTGAAAATATATACCGACGGATTGTTTTAGTTCAGTGGATCTCTGATGCATTAAGTTCCTGAACTTTGAATTTTTATAAAATTCGCACACACTTTCAAGGACGATCGAATGCGGTTTTCTTCACATAATGTATTTTCTTTTCTGTATGAATTATTCAGATTTTTATTTTCTTAACCGAATTATTCAGATCTTGCTTTTGTGATCAAACGCTATCATCTAAACAATCATGAAATTTAAATTAACGTGTGCTGAAGAGTTCAGAGATAAGCGAGAGGAAGGATGCAGAGTTGGATGGAGATTGTTTTCAGATTGCGTATGTATATATATATATATATATATATATATGTTAACGCGTGTGTGTACGAGGATTTACGTATACAATCATACATCGATGGCTATTCGATTCATGTCGTATACGATCGGTATATGCATGTACACCACTTAAGTGTTTTTTTTTTTATATAAAAAGTAGCTAAACACTTTTCCTTTCAAAAATCTTGTTAATAATTGCCAGATAACCTTTTTTTGATAATTGACATATTGGTTAACATTTTTTATGTTGTATATGGTCTCATTAATGGGAGATGAATGTATGTGTTTTGATATACGTACACACGCACGTGTACGTATATAACCTTGAAAAGATGGTAAAAGTCACATGAACAGAACAAGATCGTGACTCGTAAGAGCATTGTATGTCAAGAGTTCCGACCAACATGAGGCCTCGTGTTTACTGTGTCCTATTACGTGTTTTCCACACGTGTATTCTTCAACCATGTCTAAGTACAATAGTGAAGCAATCGAAGAAGTATTTTTCTTTTTCTTTTTCTATCGTCAGTAATGAACGTAGTTTTTGGTTGACCACAAGATCATTTAGTTTCTGTGATCTTTTTAAAATATATAAAAGTCTGTAACTGTAGCGTTTACAGGAAGGGTCTATATATTTGAGAATTGTGACATTTCCCCCCTATGTTAAAGATAGCTTAGAATTCGTGGTCCTTGAAAATCATTATCTATATTTGTTTTTTCCCTAATCACCACATGGGCTTTGATATAGACGAGCCAGCAACCAAGCCATATTATCTTATTCTATTATTATTTATGATTATATCCGCAAGATTGTAAACAATTAGCTATTATTACATTTATGATTATCTATGTTGAGGAAAATTATCTTGACATGATAAGTAAGGCCATGCCTGATTGCATCTAGACTCCAGTTAAGCGAGTTAAAAATATGAGATCTATTTCATACTTAAAAAAAAAAAACTAAAAGAAGAAACCATCCGTTTGATGATCACTACTCAAAACTAGTATATTGGATATTCATGGACGAACAAGTTGTTTATATATGTTTGTCTGTTTGATATCTATCAATAGATTTGCTGTATGATGCTTTGTTAAAAAAAATCTACAGACAATTTTTTTTTTAATTGATAACGGAACTTTACAAGAAGTTGATAATATACTGAATATGATTTTTTTCTGGTTTTATTTTTACCAATAATTTGTTTTTTACTGATTCACCATATTACTACATTTTCCCAACATTTTAGTACAAACTTATATTAAAAATCTATAAGCACATAACTTCGATATACTTTTTGTTATGGTCAACGACGACGACGATGTGAGTAGTGGGTCACGGTCCTCACGTTACTGTTTTCTCTTCAACCCTAATAGACCCCTCTCCTACTAATGCTAAGTGTAGGAATTTTTCGAATTAATCCAACTCCAAATATACTATTTTTGTATTGGCTACTTTTAACGAAACCTTATAAATAAAGCCAAATATTGTTAGAGCCAAACAGCCAGGACACGAAATTTGGCTCCAATTAAGTCTAAAACATAACTTAACCGAATAAAATCCAACTTAACCGGATTTTAACCAAAATAAATGTATAAATAGTCAATCACCTCCGAGTATGCATGCAATCATAGTATCGCATGTTGTATGCTTACGATATGAGACCATAGGCCCAGTCCGATCCAGAAACATTAGGTCGTAGTACTCCCATACGATTGCCAGGCAACAGAAATAAGTTTACAAAGCGAGTTTAGTTAACCACCACTTCGAACCGAGTCAGATGGTAACCCGAGGAATCCAACATAACCCTTTTTCACAACTAGTCACAACGAACAACACAAATTTATAAGACTAATATGAGTTTTAAACAGGTCGCTCACACAACCCCAACAAACATACATTCTGATATTTATATTTATTAATATTCATCAAACCTCAGAATCTAGATAGCTTTTTTAGGGTGTCATGTACTCATGTAACATATGATAGAAGAAAGAGGAAGTGTTTATAGCAGGCCAGTAATGTCGATGTACGACAATAAAGAGGTTTTGACACGTTCCAACACATCCCACATCGAATTGACGCCAATCCAGCAAACCAGAGGGAAGCGATTCACTTTGACACTGCGAATGAAGTTGCGGGATGAATATTTGGCACACGCGCCAGGCACTTTATTACCTTTGTAAGCCTTGCAGATGTAGCTTATGACGTTTTCATAATCCTGCAGAATACAGACAGAAAAACAGACGTAAGTTCAAAGCCAAGAAACATCAACCACAAACACATACAGAGAACTTATGTTCCCATTGACCAATGGATTTTTTTATGCAGCGCATCTATTCTTCATAGATCATGAGATTCTCCTGGAGACACTTCACTTCTCATCAGCCCTTGCCAACAAGCCTATGGGAAACTTCACTTATCGTCTGCTAACCTACAGCTAAGACGATATCCTAGTTTTGAATTAAATATGCCCATCTTCCATATTTGGTAACTGCAACATCTATTTCTCATATAGTCTTTGAGTACATACTGTACAATTGAATAGATACTCCTATAAAACATGTATTCCTCACAAGTTTGGTTCACTAGAATTTACATTAGAGGATAAGGCTCTGAGAAATTATATGGGGTGAAGATGATCAACCTCCGTAAAGACAATAAATAATAATGTGTTGCACAACTAAAATCCAAATCAATCCCTCGGAATAAACCCAAATCATACTGATAAGTGAATATAGTTATATCAATAATACGCAGAGAGTTAAAAAGCGTGGATTTCTCATGGTAAGAACTCCGTACATTTTGAAAAAGAAGCATACTGAACGAACCTCATAAAGTGGCTGCCCATCCACGACTACCCACGGCACATATTTATGAGGCGGCTGAAGTGCACTCGTTTCTGCAGCATACTGCAACACAAGCTGCAGCAAGTGAACAATATTAGAAACGCATTATATAATCCAGAAGCTTACAATACAAGAACATGGTATATCGGATACAGATATCAAAATTGGAATTGAGTCTACGAAAATAAAAAAAAAAATGATTAGAATGTCCTTTTATAATCCTTGCTCAACCATGCAACACCAATGCAGAAATGGTATCTGGATTCAGAAATGTAACATTCCAATGCTAAAAAGCAATCAGTAACGTAATGGAAGTATCGATTCTTAACAAGAAATTGCGGCGAAACAAGCAAGAAACAAACTACACCAAGAGGTAAGGACTAACCTCGTTTCCATGTCCACTGCTGAGACAATCGGCAACAGGTTTTGAGTTCAGATTGAGCTTCTCATAACAAGTCTCCCACTTGTCGTACTTGTGTTCAATCACCAAACTCTCAATACAGTAGATGAACGGGAAATGATCGCTCTGCAACGAACGAAAGTGACGATCTAACTTATCTCACAAATATTATATGCCTCCCCAAACCAAGTCATGTGAAAGGGACAATCAGATCTCATAATCGCACTTACCAATTTAGGCCAAGCATCAATTGCACAAGCTTCTACGGTATCCAGGAAGCACTCAAATGCCCCGTGCTGCAACAATTAGCGACAAAGATTTATGTAATCGCTACAATTATGCATGATGATGAGTTTTGCTCCGACCAATTTGTCAAACTCAGATGCAAACAACGGATCAAATTTCAGCTCAAGGAAAAGCCGAATCTCTATCGATTTCTTCCGCACCTTAAAATTAAAGCTTAATTAAATCGAAACGGAAACATCGATTTCGTAAATTGAAGAAAACAAGCCGTAGAAAGAAGCAAGGAAGACCCGATGATGACCTGGCAAACGACAGTGACGTTATCGGGTCGGAGCTTGGTGTTGCCCCACGGAGACAGATGGAGATCGACGATGGATATGAGGTCGTCTTCGAAGAGCTTCGCGAGGTGGTTAACTATGAAGGAAGAGCAGTAAGGACATAGAGACTCGTAGTAGAGGCCCAGCGAGACTTTCGGCGAATCGGGGGAAGAAGATGTAAGCGATATTCCAGAAAAATCAGATGCAGATGCAAATCCGAGAAGAAAAACGTAGCAGACTAGGAGATGAAGTTTCGACGCCATGAATGCAAATGCAACACCGCCTTTTGTTCTTCGAAAAGACCATTCACTAATTCATATCTCGAAGCTCACATAGAAAGAGACGATAGAACTTTCCTAGTCGGTTACGTGTTATTACGTGTTATAACGTCATGCTTACATTGGTATTGTACCGATGAACAGATACACGTGTCTCAGTGGATCTCGTCTAATAATTTGCGAGAAAATTTCCAAATTTATATTGTAAAATCATTTGCTTAGTATAAAGAGCGTTGGGCAGTCTGCTTTGTTACTTATGAATTACGATGAACACAAAGTAAACGCAGGCTTTGCAAATTTGGGCAGAATAGTTAACACACGAGATCAGTTTCAAGATAATATTAAGAGTCAAACAAAACAAGGTCCACTAACGAAGACTTGACTTGCAGAACAAAAAAAAGAAAAAAACAGTTCACAACGTTTTAGATATTGCTCGGATACATAAACACTCGAACTCGGGCTCCCTGCGAAAACGATAACCAACCATATAAGAACCCAAACACACCCAGCTAGGAAAGCAAAAGAGAACATTTTTTTTTTTTTTTTTTTTTTTTTTTTTTAGCAAAAGAGAACATAACACAAATATAATGAAATAATTTGGATTACCATTGATTTAGGAGGCAAGTTGGATGTGAATTTGGCTCGAACCACGCCGCTGTTACCGTGAGGCCTTGTGACTTTGCCCCAAATGCAACGGTAGTGACTACCATTCTTCTTGGTCTTGGCTTTGTAGATGTAAGCCATTCGTTTCCCTTTGTACCATGCCACTTCCTCTGTTGTGTTAACTCCTTCGACTTGGACTAGGGACGTATTTGGGTACTGGTTCGACTTTGACCTATTCATATTTACCCATAAAATGTCTTTAAGTAACACAGTTCCGACTAAAATCTGAAACAGAAACACAATCACTATGCAACCTATCACACTCTGAGTGGTACATTGTTTGCTTACATTTATAACCCAAAAAATGATTCCCAATTAGTAAACGTACTGTACTAACTGTTTTTGGGACGATAACAGTAAACAAAAATCATGATCATGCCACATTAAACACGGATTCCTCAACTGTTGTCAGGAACTAAACGATTTGAATACTGTAAGCAACAAATCTAAGGTCATAAAGTGTATTAACCAGACCAATATGTAAAACAAGCAAAGTTAAGAAAGAACAAATCATGTACTGGCGTACCTTTTGTATCCAAGTATGGTTCCTCTGACATAGAGTCTGCATCACATAAACCAAAATCGAATGAAGAAAAATATAATTAAGACCTTACATGTAAAAAAAGAGGTAAGAAGAAGGGTCATAGAAGAAATTTAGTGCGAGATCCACAAAAGGGAAAAGCAAATGATGCAGCAAATTTTGGTAGCTAAAAAGTTGAAGTAGAGAGACTGAATTAAAGTAAACAGAGGAAACAATGAGCAACAGGAATAACCTGACACGTTCTCCTTGGCGTCCTTTCACCATTTTGTCGAATCGTCCGGTGGAAGAAATTGGCACTTGCCTTCAGAAAACGGAGGCAAAGGAAAAAAAACCATAAAGCCTTAAAGATGTGATATCTTCTAGGTTATATCAAGGAGACGGCACCGTTTTTAAGATATTAATGGGCCTTAAATTGAAAGAAAAGGCCTAGCGTCAATCTAAATTAGCTAACGGCCCTTAACAATCGTTTCCAAAAGCTTTTTTTTTAAGATGCGCCATATAATTCAAATCAAAATTTCGAAATACCCAAAAAGAAGATTTGACCCGCTAATTTCTCTGTGGCAAAAATGTCGGACTCGATGATCGCTGATCAGACTTATCTCTTTCTCAATCGGATACAAGAGAGAAGGTCCTTCGTTTCCTTCGAATCACCGTAAATCTTAATTTCTCCTTCGTGTTGACTTAAACCGATAATATATTCTCATTGATTTTGCAGGTTCGATGAAGAGTCTCTTCGGATTCTCGAGCTGTCCCTGGTTGCAATGAATGTGAAATCGTTTTCCGAAGTTAGATCCCGATTGGCAGATTTCATGAGATCTGAATCGGCTGCCATATTCGGTGAGCTCACTGGAGAATCCATCGTTGCAAAGCTCTCCGTACTTGAATTCTTCGCTCGTGCTTTTGCTCTTATCGGTGACATTGAGGTTCGTATCCTGTTCTTGTCGAATCGAAGAAACTCTGAAACTACTGAGCTTAATCGCTTACCATATTAAGATTCTCATGATTATAAGTGAAGATTTGCCGATGGATTTGTGCCTTTTTCTCGGATTTCTTACGTATGTTTTGTTGTTATATGTTGAGTAGAGTTGTTTGGCTATGAGGTATGAGGCATTAAATCTACGGGATCTCAAGTCCCCTAGCTGTTTGTGGTTAAGGGTTTCACATTCAGAATGGACCGAATTTGCAGTCCAATCTATGGAAAATGGATTCCTATCTATTGCCGGAAAGGTAAGTACTCTTCTTTATGAGCTCGTTGCTTTTATTAACTGGATGAGAAATTCACATAAGATAATGGTTAGAGATTTTTAACATGCCCAATGGAAACTGAAATTACTATGCAATAGTTAACAAGTTTATAAACTTAGGATGAATGTTTAGAGATACATTGTTCTCTGCCTTTTACTAGCTTTTTGTTTCTACATTTTCTATTCCCACATGGAAGCACCCATCCGTTTTGCTCTTTTTCACTGCTTGTGCTCTGTCTTTTGGTTTTCACTTATTCCTACTTTGTCGGTATGACACTGTCACACTGTGCTGACGTTTACGCAGGCGTCTGAAAATGCGTTATTGAGCCTTAAAAGGGATAGTCTTATTGAAACAAAACAAGAAGAGTATTCTACAATTTTGGATGCAGCTGAGAAAGTAAGGAGACTAAGGGATTCAGCTGCCTTGTTAACATCTTCATATTCAGGTATTTTCATTTACACAGTGTGTTCTTTAAAATCCATTCCGTTGACCGGAGTTATGACTACATTTTGGTTGCTTTCTTCGTGGATAGGCCCTAAACCCCAGTATTCTCGTCTCATTTCAAATTTTCAATTCATTTTGTTTGAAGAGATATTGGTCTGAATCTCTCTCTGCCTAAAAGAGTTTGATTCACATCCTCCCTTTCATTCAATATAGTGGTATCGGTGTGAATTCAGACATAGAATGTAGTTTTTGAATTTTTTTACTGCTTTGCCTTCATTGTTGATGTAGGATCACTGAGTTGTACATTAAGATTTTGAAAATCTTCTAGGTGGTGATTTATCGGAATGGATATAAACTTTAATAAGGTGGTTGTTAGAATGTATCTGAGTAGTTCTCAATTCAAAAACAGTTCAGGCACAGGGTGCAGAGTACTTGAGGAGCAAGGAACTCAGGGTACTAAGCAGACAGACTCGACCAATTAAAAATCCAGACTGCACAGGTAGCAATTTGTTCAGAGAAGGTATCAATAAGCGTAACGAACGAATGTTGCAACATCTCCTGTAGTATTCAGATGACTCGAGATCTAGAATCAGATTCGCGCTGTGTTGATGCAAATGGTGGTACACACTTCAATGACCTTTTAATGCTTCATGACCATTTAAATACAGGTCAGCTTTTGATAAAACATTACTACTTAGATATTACTGAAGATCATAGTTTGTTCACATAAAAACAGAAAAAGTTCAATCTTTCTACCCTTTTGCATCTAACATCATGTTTCTTTCATGGAAAGGGTCATCATTATGTATGAGCAAATCCAAACAAAGCCAGGCGAGCTAGTTTTTTTTCCAGTCTCGTTCCATTAGTCAATGTTGACTTCTTTTTTAGTACTCAAAAAACTATTGCAAAAAATTAAATTTTGAAATTATTGACCTAATAGTTCATTAGTTTTCATTAACTATTATTTGCTTCTTGGTGATATTAATATATTCTCATGTCATATACATGCTATACCTTCCGAAGATATTTTAAATACTTATGTACTATTCAAGTGCGTGTATTGTATAAAATAGACTCGAAATGGAAATAACATTATATTATAGCTCTGTTTTAGGATAAAGAGGGAAAAAGGGCTGAAATGAAATGGTCTTTAGTGAGCTCCAAACGAGCAGTAAGAGAGGTCCCACGACTGGGATTCCAAGCTAGACTCTCAAAGCCAATCAGCTTGAGATCCCGTCACTTTTGGGATAAGATGCCACGTCGTGTCAATTACATCACATATAAAAGTATTAAATTTTAAAGAAATACCTAGCTCTGTAAATAAAATCTATATATATCTTAAGTTTTTAGTATGAATGATGTCGGATATATAGACAAAGAAAATATATTAGAGTGGAGGGAAAAAAACACAGAGGAAAAGATAAGACATATATGGATACGCAAAGGTTACCGAAGAAAGAAGAACAAGAAGAAGAAGCTGGTCATCAACCTTCTTCAACTTTTGAGTCTATTAATGCTTTCTCTCAAGACCAACACAACCACTCTGTGGATGATTTCGACCGCATTTTCGACATCACCATTGACAGTTCAAAGTGTTCTCATGAACTCACCTGGGATTTCTGGGAAGAAGAATACAACGACGAAGATGTAGAGGAAGAAGAAAAAAGACTGAGTACTGATCAAGAAGGCTCAAGTTCTGGGTTTTGGCACAATATGTCGATGGATTCTGAAGACAAAGAGTTGGGTCTGAAGCTGAATCTAAACCATCAAGAAGTTATTGATGCGTGGTCCGATCGTCGCCAGGAACTTCTATGGACAGATACTTCAATGCTAATGGCTCCGGCGAATGCCCTTTATGTTAGTTACTGTCTCTTACTTGCTGTACAAGTTATATGATTAAGGATTTAATCTTGATTAGTTAGTATTAATGGTTTAGAGTGTATCCAGAGGGGAGAAGTGCCGGTAATGGATGAAGAGAGAAACACGAGAAGAGAGGCGAGTGTGTTAAGGTACAAAGAAAAGAGACAGAGTAGGCTCTTCTCTAAGAAGATAAGGTATCAAGTGCGAAAACTCAACGCTGATAAACGACCTCGTTTTAAGGTGACTCTCTCTTATTGCTTCTTCACTCTACATTTTTGCCTCAAGTCAATGTTAGCTAGTTATTTATTTTCGAAATACTGATTTATTTTTACTGAAAACCCTAAACTATTATTGTTATGAATTTTCTTGTGATAGATTTCTTTTGAATTATTTGTAGGGTCGGTTCGTGAAAAGGGAGACGTAAAAGGGGGAAAATATCTGGAAGAAAAATATCTCCAGCCTTCGTAGTTTCTATTTATTAGTATTATCATTATAAGGATTATTATATCATACTTTTCTGTAATTTTTTGAGGTATCATTATCGACTTTACAACTTTATCAAATTTGAAACGAAAATATCTCCCTGACGAGAGAAAAAAGAGATGCGAAAAATCTTTTTTAAGTAAAGGAAATGAAGATTACATGAAGAGGACGTATATGGCAAGTCGTTGTCGAATTGGTGGGGCTCAAGTCTAAAAAAGGCTTCACCACATGTTTGAATCGAAAACTAACCAATCCTTTGTCGGGGCCAAGCGCCAACTAACTATATTTATCAACATGAACTTCATATTGTTATTCATGAGCGAATGGCGCCAGTGTTCCTTTATAAGATTATTGCATTTTCAGTTTTAATAAAGAGCGCCTACGGCTAATCCCATTATGTTTATATATATATTTAACTACAACGTTTCTTGTATCAATATTAAAAACTACCGCAACTATTATAATTTTTTTCCAAACTCCAAACTCCAATATCAGTGTTTGATTAAATGACTATACATCCCCAAATAGTAAGTGAATTTCACGGATTCCATATCTTTCATGGACTTGACGATTGAAACTTAACTAAATATGAAATATGGCTTACTCTCCATCTTTCTTCAACGTCGTCACTGATTTGTCAATTCTTAGTATAATTCCCATGGATATCAAGATATCATTTTCGCTTTTTGATCCTGGTGTGAATTTATAAGGATATTCTAATAATCTAAAGTTTGTACCGAATGCAAGCAATCTGGTTACGTATATGAAAGGAGTACATGCACACTGTCGAGGATAGTTTCATGCATGGTACATTAAAACTTTAATTCAGATATAAATTGAGGATTTACACCTTTAAATATACTACTGGTTAACTCGATTCTTTTTTTCTTCCTTATCATTTCATATAAGTAGCCACTCCTCCCTAAGCCCTTTCTCACTACACAAAAAAAAAAACCCAAACTACAGATGATAAGCCCATCATCTATATAGCCCGTTAAATTATCCATCCCACCACCCTTTTTTTTATTGAAAAATCAAAAATCATAGCGGACGCATTTTTTATAACAATACGGGTGGGGTGAGGAACATCATATTGTGACTTTTTATTCATCTGTGGACCTGTGGTTTGTATAACCCACATGACCAGAAGAAACCTCGTATATATATAGTTGTCCTTCCAAAATCAAAGAAAACTAATAAAAGAAAACCAAAAAAAGGAAAATCCCAAAGATGAAACCGCCACATCAGATGATATTATATTACTATTATACAGTTGTATATACATTCGACACGACACGACTCTGTGAGAGAAGAAGACGAATCACGGAACCTCTCTCACTCTCTCTCTCTTTTTCGCAGTCTCAAACGCTTCCCGGCGTAAAAAACAAGAAAAGCTCCTCTATGATTTCTTTATACTCTTCGTCCTCGGCCATCAAAGCCTTTCTCGACCGCTCTCCGTTCCTTCCTCTCCGATTTCCATCATCGTCACTCTCTGTTTCTGTTTCCTCCTCTGTTGGATCTCCTATTCGGCTTCCCTCCGCCGAAAAGCGCGCTCACTCCATAGTCGCTGCTTCTCGAGGAGGCTCGATGTCATCAAACGGTGATGATTCTCGCCAGGTTCGTTTTTATTTTTGTTAGTAATCGTTATCTAGAAGTGGCTAAATTTCCGCATACGTAGGTTAGGTCAGAACGATTTATAAAGTTCTTGCCAGTTAAAAAAAAAAAGAAGATCTTGGGAATAATACCTGATTGTTTCGTTTTCTGATTTTTTTTCTCTTGGACCAGGTTGCTGAATCTTTCTTCAGGAGCGTTTTAGGGCAGATGGAAACGGTTTACCTGAACCGAAACCCGACGCCTAAATCCGTCTTGGAACTTGTCAAATCCGTTGACGACGTACAACTTTGCTATGATCATCTCGCTTTCAGGACCTTCGGGGTATAGATTTTCTATTTTCCTGCTTCATATAACCGGGATGTTGTTGTTACACTTGCACCAAGTACAGTTTTCAAGGTTTAAAATTTTTCAACAAAAGTCAAATATCTCATTATTGGCTTTATTCTTGTGGGAATATGTTAGATTGGTGGTTATGGGATTGATTCGCTTGCAAGCTTTTTCCTTGACTATGGGTATACCCAAATGGATGAGCTGAGATTTCCGGCCAAAAAGCTGAGAGCTTTGTGGTTTGCACCTCCTGATGTTTCTGCTATTCCTGGTGGAAGTGGCGTAAATGGTCCCTTACCAAGAGTTTTTATCTCAGAGCTTCTCGTGGAGCAGATGAGTTCACAGACTCAGGTAATAATAACACTGTCCTTGGCTTGACCCCGGGTGGCTGGTTGTGTATGAGCTTTGAATGAAGTTTCTCTTGTTTCCAGGATGTGATTAGAAAGTACACCGAAACATGGCCTGGTGGAAAAAAGTATGCTGCTCTTTCTAGTGCCTTGGGTACTTTACCTTGGGAAAAGCCTCTATCTTCCGAGTTTGAGAAATTGGCTAGGTACATGGTCCTTGATTCCTCTTGGTTTGCTGTTGGATTTTTAAGATCAAGAGAAAGTATTTATTGACTCATAACTGAAAGTGTGTTGGGTTAAATCAATCTACAGGGAAAGTGAATACGCAGCATGGACACTTGTCAATGGCTATGCACTTAACCACGTCACCATTTCTGTCCATCGGCTTAAATCTCATCTAAACAAAATTAAGAAGCTCAATCAGTTTCTCGAAGAAAAAGGTTTCAAATTGAACTCAGAAGGAGGAGTCCTTAAAGGTTTAGTATCTTCAGACTAATCTTTATTCCTGGAATGAAAGAAATTAGAGACGATTATAAGCAGCAACAACTGACACATAATGTATTTTTCCATCTTTTCTCAGTTAGCCCTGATGGTGGTTTGCTGCAAAGCTCAACTGTAGCTGATTCGATTTCTTTCAAGTTCTCTGATGGCGTCACCAAATCTATTCCTTGTTCATATATTGAGTTTGCTGAACGCCTTGTGCTTCCCCAGTACCAAAATGTACCTGAAACCGAAGTAAGTGACGATTTTGATTAAGTTTCAACTCACTTATAAATCGCTTACTGTGAATCGATGCCATCTTTTGCTTCTCATTGCCTAGAGAACTCCTCTTAGTTATTATATAAATCTGATTCATTTGTTTTTGCCTACATTGTGAATTGACACTTGTGAAATCTACAAAACGCAGATACAAGAGTCTCATCGACGAGATGGATTTGAGGTTGGAAATGCTGATAAGATCTTCGAGAGCACGAATCAGGGTCAGCTTTCCCGAAGAACTGGCTAATAGTAAATAGTCTCGGCTTTGGCGATTTGTCAATCATGCCTCGTACATAAACATATGTAGAGCTGAAACTATTTGTAATGTTGTTAAATCAGTAAAGATACTAATCTAAGAACTCTTAATCAGATAGTTGTGTGTGGATCCAACTTCCCTTGGCATTATTTCATACAAATTAAGACCAAGTAGAAACCAAGTTAATTTCTATGGTTTTACACTTTTAAAGAATACCCCACATCACAAGCGAAATGGAGATGATTTTTAAGTATGGATCCGTAAACACTCTACATTAAAAACCCAGCAGATCAACTTCTTGCACTAATTGACCTGTACTTGTTGTAAGTTGGAAGAGTATGTAACGAAAAGGTTAGAACTTTCAAAAAAAGAAAAAATTTCGTCGAAAAGTTTCGAAAGTTTACATCTTTATAGAACTTCGGTTGTTTGAACAAAAAACAAAAAAAAAAAAAAAAGAGAAGAACTCCGATTAGAATTCTCCACTTGAAAAAGAAAAAAAAAAATTGGGACACATTCAAACCTTTGACATAGGGAAAGCCAGATAAAAGGAAAAGTAAGAGATGATGTAGTCCAATTCCCCCATTACGCCTGTGTAACCGCCGTTTCTCTTCGTCGGTTATTCACTTCCCGATTCAGAATCATTGCTCCAGCCATCACGGAAACCCTACTTTTACCCACGTTTTTGTCTCCGCCGCCAATTTCCAAGGGCCTCCCGATCTACGGCCTAACCCCTAAATGGCTACGGAGGCTACAACCGCGCACAAATTCCAGGAACCAGACCTCCGTCCGGTATCTCAGACACCGGATTTTAGACCGGAAATCGCTCACGACGGCCTCCGGTTCTGGCAATTCATGATTGCTGGTTCGATTGCTGGCTCCGTCGAGCACATGGCCATGTTTCCCGTCGACACGGTGAAGACCCACATGCAAGCTCTCCGACCATGTCCGTTAAAACCGGTCGGAATCCGGCAGGCTTCCGTCGATG